TGCATAGGCGGTTTCCCCGAGGAAGGTGCCCTTATAAGGCCCTATCAAGCCACAACTTTACGTCCCAAACGCCCGCCACGCCCGCCCGCCCACAAATGGACGACCGTTCCTGACGCTCGTATTCATTCATTTGCTAAGCAAATTATGAAGCGAAGGGATTGGTATGAAGCGGCCGTGATGCTGCATGCATACATGGGTACACATATGCACCATCGTGCCAACTGCCTTTGAGCAGATAGGGTAATAGAAGTCCTGGTGGCGTAATAGATAGCGCACAGCCCACAAACGCATGAAATGCGAGTCTGCGTCCCACCTGGGGTCGAGACTTTTGCCCAGAACTTGGAGTTCTTGATAATCTTCAGAGCGCCAACAGCGACGTTAAACAGCAGTCACCATAATGAAACAGCTTTGAACAATCTTGTGATTGTTGCCTGCTGTCTCACGTAAATTCGGCTTTACTACCGTCACTCTCTGTATTATTACATAAATTTGACACTTACAATAAATGAGGCCAAAGCAGCAACACTCGAGATAAAAGTTGGATTGGAGATGCCAGTTCCTTCTGCGATCAACTTATCCAGCAACTTTAACACTTGTTTATCCCATCACGGACCGTCACATCTGAAGTATAAAAATAATGGAATCTTCACGCCTGCGAACAGCGAAAAAAATACCAGTGTTTCTCACGCCAGGGCCATGTACATACGCTTGAGACTGCCCAACTAAAGGAGCCATGACCTGCGTTGGACGAGCATAAGGGGAAATATGATTGCTTTCGAGAAGAATCTTTCGACTGGTGTTTTTTTCATTTCCCCTGACGCTACATGGCCTCCCTCCCTCCCCGGACCGTTCTACGACTACTCATGCCCATATATTTTCGAGGAGAAAAATGGGAATTCCAGAAAACTACTTAAAAAACTTAAAGAAAGTTGAGGAGATTTTATGAAGAGGGAAGAATGCAGGAAGTTGGTAGCTAGGATGATAGAGGAGAAGGAGGGTCGTATCAGAGGGGCAAGTTCCGTGGGAGGTCGTATTTTACAAAAATTTACCCCAACGGCAGGGTTTATCCTGATTTCACCACCAGTTCTCACTGGTCCCTTCCTATAACCCAAATAAAACCCGTACTCCCTAGCAGCTCGGTATGAAACCCTTTTCAAGCCATCGTTATGAATTTATAAGGTTCCTTTACGCCATTATACGGGAATCAAATATGTTTTAACCGAGGATCCGAAAGTATTCACCTTCTTCAACCGCGACACTATGTTCAGAAGACTGATCGTTTTCCTTGAATTTAAACCTTCTGCATCCTGCTTCAGTTGGAGCTTTGCAAGTTTGAGTAACGGGATGATCATATGCTAAATTAGTCCACTTTAATAGCATACATCTCACATTCAAAAAGCAGCACAATAAAAGGCAAGACTGACTACTTTTATGCTTGGAGGAGTATCTTGAGATGATACGGTGAAAAGAAGTAAATCGGCAAGCTTCAATCGGAATGCTGATGCCAGTTGGGAAGCTTGCTTGCTAGATTCAGTGGTTTTATCATAAATGTAAAAGAATAAGTAAATAATAAAAATAGCATATCGGCAAGAAAACACATCAACAATCTCACTTTACGCCTTTCCTCGGTACCATCGCTTTGAATGCCGCTGCAAGCCGATCATCCATTGCGAACATTTCAGCGTCATCAACGTCGGAGGCGTCTGACTGAAAATTATAAAACTTGTTGCGCACGGCTTGGTGGGGCAATAAGTGGTACACAGCCAAGCTTGTCATCTTGTGAAGACCTGAAAATTCCTGTGAGCAAAGTGGCTCATTCGAATACAGGTCTAACCAAACTGGGACCTGTTGGTTAAAAGCACCAACAAAAGGAACTAAGGAAAGTGTGAATTGCCCCTTCCAGGCCGAATACCACTCCAGACTTTATCACGTTGACGGCAATCGCGTTATTCAAGAAAACGCTGCGTGGGACCGGTGGCCCATCGACAAATACCACTTTTTGCTTTGTGAACCTTCCAAAAAGTGAGTAAGCTATCCTACGTGGAAGCGCATCTCTATTCTCTGATCATACCAGACATCACTTCAAGTCCCAACAGCCATGCCACTTTTCGATTAATCGAATCGGATTTTTCAAAACGTGATTTTTCATATTTTCTGTTACAATGTTTGCTTCTGTGACTTTTTTGCGCCTCGCTACTTCGCTAATACACACAAACCGATATGCATACCGACGCACAGACGATTCCGCCCACGTTTGTGGGCTTTGTTGCAAATCTCAGATTTTTGTATTTTTGTTCATCGTCGCCGGTTTTACCCTAACTCTTCAGACATCAAATGTATTTATTGACCCCACCCGCATTTACATGCCGACATACTGAACCCCGTATCTTGACCACATCTACTTTCCGAATTATTCTGCAATATTTTGAACATCTTTCAACGTATTTACCTGGCTAGGCCGCACCAAGAAGCCCCACTGTCCACTCGCACACTTATATGAAGTGTTCCAATTTTAGCAGCGGGGGAGGGGGGGGGGGGGAAATACGGTCCGCTCGTAGGCTCGGATATAATAAACCGAGGACAAGGTTGTCGAGGCCGAACAGTGGCGCTTGTGGACCGTCAAATGGACGCGGCGCTAAAAATAAGGGTTGTTTTGTATTCAGGACCCTGAATAACTCTTATAGGCTGAGCTTCAACGAAAAAATCTTTGCACAGATATGCTGGGCCGGAAAGGTACCGCTTTCAAAATATATAAAATCGCGCCTGTTTCCCCCTCCTCACAGACTAAACTTGACCTTTTTGGAAAGCACGTCAAGCGACGGGCGAAAAGCCGGTTACACAAAACCAGTCACAACGCCACAGGACTTGCGACCTCTTCTTCATCGATCGCAACTCGCGTTTTTCCTCTTTCAATAGCCCAGCCGCCTTTCCTAGAGCGTTTTCTAGCCGATTCAGCGTTTCAGGATCGACGCCCTTCAAATGGAATAAGAAGTTTGAGGAAAAACTTTGCCCACTTCTTCAACACACTTCCTCTTCACGAACCTCTTCTTCGTCAACACTGCCAGATTCTGATTCCGCTCCAGCAGCATCCATATCAACGTCCATATCTGAATATTAGGCGATCCATTTCTAGGATAACGACTGAAGTTTAACAAAACCCGAGTTTATCAAGCAGAGGAGGTGCAATGACTGGAGGTGCGGCTCTCCACTCATGTGGCTGTCAGACTCCTCAACATGACCAAACCAACGCAAAAACGGACTCAAAGCCACATCCAGAGTTGGTAGTGAAGAAAAGTCATTTGGATCAGGGTACAGCATGGGGTGGAGAAATGACGGTGTCGAGCCCTCCGCCCAATCTCTTCCTCCGATACGACCTCCTTCCCGCGACCATGCATCAAGCAAGGAACGCTTCCTTCCTACTCATTTAACGTATCGTGGGGAATTTCCTTTCGCGATAACTGAACTCCTTTCCTAGACTAAAAGAAGACATCATTGTAATTGTCTCAAAACGCTCCAGAGGCCTGTCTCGCCGAAATAACAAACCGCCGCCTCAAGTTCAAAGCCCCATCAGCCCACCGGATAAAGGGTAACGCAGCTTCCTACTTTTTCCGCAACTTTCACTAATCAGCTACGATTTCCGCCACCGACAAGTAAAATGTATAGGATTTTTGACGGACGCCGCCTTAAAGGGGCGAAGAGGAAGGGCGAAAGGAGGTTACAGGACACACGAACTGCTCGGGAACATTTCTGTCAAGACTATACACAACCCCCTATCGACCAAATACGACCCCCTCTCATACGGACCGCCGTCAACCACGCTGCACCCTGTATTCATTCGACATACACAGCTCCCCATTGGCTCGTCCTTCCTCCCCGCCGTATCACGAAGTAGAATCCGTCAATGCACAAAGTTGCAGCCAAAAGCCCAAAAAAAATTTGGGGTGGGGGGGGAATTATCGAATCTCTGCGGAATGTGCATCGCAAGCGACTTTAAATGTAAGTTGTGGCCATTGCCATTTTTTTTCTTTTTTTTTTTTTTTTTTTTTTTCGTCCGGGGCGGCGTGAGCGGCGGCGTTTCGAGCCCGCGCCCGGCTCGCTTTACTCACAGTGGCGAGCGGTAAATTGATGTGTCACAACGAAATCAACCACGTGGTGGAAGCGCCCAGAAGGGAACGCGCTGATTGCGACCGCGACTAGGCTGCATACAATAAAAATTGTACGCTTCATCCCTCATTATTGACGAACTCACGCATCGCTACCTGCTTCATCGCAACTCAATCATCATTCTAATCATGTGTCTGAAACGCATTGGTTCAACTAATTAAGATACGTTCCATTCGAAAGCGCTATTTGCTCCGAGGGGGCACGTTAAAAGGACTTGTACAGACCTAGTCTTCATTAAAGGAGGCTGATAGAATTCATTACGTCTAACGTTTGGAGAAGGAACTCCTCGTGGCTGAACAAAGCCTCCTTTGTGTAAAACAGGCACATCGTTGTTGGGAATCCCCAATAGGGGGGTCGTATTTGGTCGCCAGGAGGGGGGGGGGTCGTATTTGGGCTGAGAAAAATTTATTTTGATAGTTGATTTTTCTCGCTTCATGGACGTTGTAAAGGGAGGGGTCGTATTTGATCATTTTTGGAGGGACACGTATTTACGTTTTGCTGTGGGAGTGGCGGTCGACTTTTGGTGATTTTCCTGTTTCATGCGTACTATATGCCCCCCGGACGGCTCGATTCGACGAGGAAGGACAGAGGGCTGGGGGGGGGGGTCGTTACCAACCCCAAACCAAGGGAGGGGGTCGTATACATCCATAAAATCCCCAACCAAGTGATGTACCTCTGGTGGTAAAAAATGGAGGTTTCGGTGAGCCTACCATGTGTCTTTAAGCCTACGTAGAGAAGCAGGTCCGCGTGGGTGAACACACTTCCTTGTGTAAAGTAGAGGTTTCGCGCTACAGTAATCCTATTTTTACATAGCAATTAATAGATGGCTCCCAAAGGCGAATAGTGCAGTTTTTCATAAGGACAAATATACTCAATATACAATAAGTATCACATCTACCTCAATTATATGAGAAACATGCTCCTTTTCGAAATGGGGCAGTAGCTGAACAAACACATAGTAGACCACAGTACGATGATACTTCATCGGTTGACTGAGGTGAGCCAGCAATTGGTCGAGCAAGACCTAAAAAATCAACTCAGGTATAAAGATAATGTAAAAAAGAATACCGCAGATCCTCCCACTAGCCTTTACCCCTACTCAGAGGCAGTTGGCACGATTATCCCTAATGGTAAGACGAGTAGGATTAATACGCCTGGCAGGACGGAATTCCGCGACCCTGAGCAGGGCTGCGTAGCGCCTTTTCCAAGGAAGGTGCCCTTATAAGGCCCTATCAAGCTGCAACATACCGACCCGCCCACCGCGCCCGCCCGCCCACAAATGGACGACCGTACCTGATGCTCGTATTGCTTCATTTTTGAAGTAAAATATGAAGCGAAGGATTGGTATGAAGCGGCTGCGGTGCTGCATGGATATATGAGTACATAAGTGCAGCCGTACTTACCGTAGCGGTTATTGGCAAGATGCCTACGGGAAAAATCGTCCGGAATAGCTTTTCAAGTCATTAAGAACGAAGGCTTTTCTTCGCAGGTTTTTGACCGTTTCACTTCCGTTTCGCCATTTTCCCCACTAGATAGTGCCCTTTTAGCATTTTAGGCCGAGTATCAAATTATCGTGCCAACTGCCTTCAAGGGTGGTACGGGCTTAACAATCACCTTGAGGCTGTCTTCTTCTCCTTTAGCAACCACGAGGAGCTCCTCGGCGTTACTTGTGTACCCTTCAGACATCTCATCTGTAGATGCCATTTTTGACCACAACTTCAAGCACAACCATAGTACCGGGAGAGCGCTAAATAAAGATAGAACCTCAATCACGGAACTCACGCGTGAGGTCAATCAAAATTATCACC